AACATGGAAATAAATGCAAAGTTTCAAATAGTTTTTTTTAAGTCATTTATTTATTTTGGCTGGGTGAGCTTTTCTCTAGTTGCATCAAGCAGAGGCTACTCGAGTTGCTGTGCGTGGACTTCTCACTGAGGTGGCTTCTCTTACTGCGGGTCGCAGGCAGGCTCTAGAGAACAGCCTTGACAGTTACGGCGCACAGGCTTAAATGCTCCAAGGCACGTGGGATCTTTCGGATCAGGGCTTGAATTCTTGTCTTCTGCATTGGTAGGTGGGTTCTTTACTACTGAGCTATCAGGGAAGCACCCCTCAAATAGTTTTACAAAGATACTGTGAGCCAGTATTCAGCAGACTTCTCCAAGAAAGCAAGAAGACAAGTGATTGAGTTCATCCCGCTGAAGAGAGTTACTGTTTATTGTTTTGCCTTTATTGTGATTTTATCATATTTATCACTTAAGTATAGGAACTTGCTATAGTCTAGCCTATTTATTTGTGAATGTTTTTAATGGATCCAAATTGTACTGGAATTAATTGCCAGTGAATTTTATTTTGTGACATGTATGTGTAAGCTAAATGAATGAGTAATAGAGATAGTAAAATATTTTAAGTGATTTTTGTATCTGAAGTAAAAAATTGATACTAAAGGAAGTATCTTATTTTAAGGTTATGACTTTTTAGAAATTTTTCAGAAAATTCTCATCGTCTAGTGTCTCAAGGGGTAGAATAGAGCAACTGTGTTCAGTACAATAACTAAGAAATGTCCTTTACTAATTAGAAGTTGGCATTACTGTTTTTATTTGCTTTTGAAAATGATCTTTATTCAGTGTGTTTGTACCTCCAAGTAATTTCAGAGCTCCTTCCTGTTTCCAGAGTGAATTGATCCATTGTAGATGGTTAGTTCTTGTCTATAATAAATTAGAAACTTTTAAAAACCTGTTTCTTCTTTTGTGTAAGTAGACAGTTTAAATTATTACTGAAAGTAGACTTTATGACCTAATCCTTGTCCACACAGTTTCAATAAGGAATGGTGACTAAAATTCAGAGTAGTTTAGTATTGGATTGGCCAAAAAGTTCATTTCGGTTTTCCCATGAGATTTTGTGGGGAAAACCAAAGGAACTTTATGGCCAACGCAGCATTTCTGACTTTTAAAAAAAAATTTTTTTTAATTCATTTTTAACTTAATTTGATTTTACTTTATGTTATTTAGTTTTGACCGCGCTGGGTCTTTGTCGCTGCAGGCGGGCTCTCTGTAGTTGCGCTGCGTAGAGGCGATTCTTCAGTTGTGGTGTGCTTTGTGTTGCGGGGGGCTTCTCTGCCTGCGGAGCAGAGACTCCAGGGTGTGTGGGTCAGAGATTGCAGCTTGCTTCTAAACGCTAGGCTCTAGAGCACAGGCTCAATAGTTGTGGTGTGTGGGTTTAGTTGCTCCGCGGCTTGTGGGATCTTCCTGGAGCAGGGATCAGATTTGTGTCGCCTGCATTGGCAGCTGGATTCTTAACCACTGGACCACCAGGAAAGTCCCTCAACATTTCTTTTTAAAGTATATTTATATTGTATCTCTATACAGTATGAATATACTGTAGTCTGAGCATCATCTCGGTACTTCTTCCTGTTCCAAATCCCCTCTTCTTCAGTATGACTATCTTGAGACAATATGCAGTTAGGAAGTATACTTTTTCTCTTCCGTTGTTTTTACTCCTTTTTTTTCTTTCCTCTGAGCCTTCCTGAAGTTTTGGGAAGTTAGGTTCCTTACTATGAGTGCTCATTATATGGAACTACACATTATTTTTTCCTTGGTTTCTTCAGAATGTTATTCTAAATTCTAGACAGAAAAACTCAAAATAATTTATGGAATTATTTTGTTTTGGCTTAATTTAGTGTATTGAGCATTATCTAAAACTTGGAACCAGATCTACCTGCATTGGAAATCACACAATTTTCAGTCAGATCTGTCTAACGCTACTTTTAACATCTTTATAATTTCTCTGTAAAGCCTCCCCCAAAATCAAGGAGGCAAACTCTAAAATCAAAAATTATACTTAACAGTGGTAAGCCACTTCTGATAAACTAAGGTGGAAAAGTTACTTCTATCATTAAGCATTTTGGGAAAACAATGATTATAAATATTAGCACAATATAAAATAAGGTGAGAACTTTAATGTTCTTGATAATATAGTTTTTCATAAGGAAATAAAGTGGTGAATCTTGCATTAGCTACTGATTTACCAAAATGTGTCTGTATAGGAGGGACTTCCCAGGTGGCACTAGTGGTAAAGAAGCTGCCTGCCAATGCAAGAGTCACAAAAGATGTGGGTTTGATCCCTGAGTTGGGAAGATTCCCTAGAGAAGGAAATGGCACCCCACTCCAGTATTCTTGGCTGCAAAATTCTGTGGGCAGAGGAGCCTGGAGGGCTGTAGTCCATGGGGCTGCAAAGAGTCAGACACGACTAGACACATGAAGCACAGAGCTGTGTAGGAATAGCTTTTATATTTGTTGTGGTATTTCCACATGAGCACCTAAAATTGTCTGATAGAAATCTACCTTAATTTTAGTGAAAAGTAGTTACCATTTGTGTTTAGTGACATTTTGTTTGACATTGACAAAATGCTATAAGATTGCTTCTTAAATACAGTCTTCATTCATGGATTCTGTATTTGTGAGCTCACTTACTCATTTTAAATGTATGTGTAAGCCCAGAATCAGTTTCCAGGTGCTTTCCCAGCTGAGTTCTCAGCTGAGTCAAAAGACTCCTTCTGTCTTTGTGTTTTAGCTCTCACAGTGAAAACAAGCATCCTCTCTGTGGTCTCTTTAGTGTTACGTTTTCCACATTTTTTGCTTTTTCTTGGTGATTTTGCTGTTTTGAAAGGCCCCCAAGTGTAGTGCAGAGGTGCTTTGTAGTGTTTGTTGTTAAGTCCAAGAAGGCTGTGATGTTCCTTACAGAGAAAATATGCAGGCAGAGTCAGGGGAAAACAGAGCATTGTGGTAGCACATCATAAAAATGAGGTGAATAATGGTCTATCTTCAAATCATTAGTAGTTCTTAAAATCGAGTGGTCTTTCTCCCAGAGTTAAACACAGTCTTCAAACAGATATATTCTCAGAGCTCAGCAGGGGACCCTGTTAGGGTAGAAGATATTAATAGTAGTTCTGATCATCATTTCTGCATATTCAGATGTGGTTTGCCTAGAAACAAAGACTGCCAGCCATTGTGGGGTGAATCTTCAGCTTACCCTTGTGTGTAGACTGCTGCTACAAAGTAATAGTAGCCATTGATGCAACCCATGTGGCAGTTAAGGCAGACTTTCTAAAGTTCCCTGCCACCCTGTCCACCCTCACCCCTGCTGCTAGGCATGGAGTTGGCTGTGTGGCAGGTGTAGTCTAAGATTTGCCACACTGGCATGAGACCTTGGAAATGGTATTGCCATTTGTATTATTTACTAGTAAAGGGATGCTATAGCATGGTGAAAACAGACAGAGAATGTACTTTTTAAATGTTATTTAACTTTGTGTTTTCTACCTAATTCTGCCTTTAGTTTTCTGCTCCCTGCTTAAATAATAATCAGTGCAGGTCAGCCTACATTTTTGGTTGTTAGGGTTGGCCTGGACCTTCACGTAGTAGGTAGGAAATTATGTACAAGAATACGTAGAGGAAATGAAGGGTAGCTGGAAGTGATTCAGGAGAAGACAGCACGTGATAGGGCTTAATATACCAAGAGAGAGATTATCAGTGGTTCACACCCTGGTTTTTATTAGTATAACCTAGGGAACTTTTTAAAAATATAGATGCTTGGGCCCTACTGCAGAAATTTCTCATTGATCTGAGGCAGGGACCAGTATGTGTATGTGTGTGTGTGTTTTTTTCTCCCCCAAAACCTCCCTAGATCATCCATCATCCACCATCAAAACTGATGGATTTAAAAAAAAAACGACTGATGGATTGTATATTTTCTGTTTAGGTCTAGAAGAGAGGGTGAGTAGCATTGACAGAAAGGTACAGAAAGTTTCAGCTTGTTATAATGAAGAATATTCTGGTAATTTGAACTTTGTCCTCCTAGAAATATTAAAGTATACATGAATTAATTGCTTGGGAACAATGCTGTGAGGATGACTGCTTTGGATAATGTGTAGGACTTAATCTTTCCTTAATTTTATTTAAAAAAGAAAATGCTGCTGTACTGCAGATTTATAAAATTGGAGGATAATTGTTTTACACTATTGTATTGGTTTCTGTATTTACAACAGTGTAAGTCAGCCATAAGGATATATGTATATACATTTGCTTCTGCAGATTTAGTATGGAGTTCGCTAAGATCAGTTTGGGGGCATATTGAGTCTGAGGTATCTATAGGGAATCTAGGTGGAGATGTTGACTTAGAAGAGAGTCATGACTGGGAGAACATCACTGTCTCCATACTGTTTTCATTCATATGATCCATATCTTATAAACTTACCATGTACTGATAGTGATAAATAAAACATGATCCCTAGACTCATGGAGCTTATAGACAGAGAAACTAAATACTGAAGAATGTTTACAAAATGACCTGGCAATGTCTTAAATTGTCATCTCTGTCAGCTAGATGCTACATTAGGGTCAGGGGTTGCAACTGGATTATAAATTCTTGAGAGAAGTCCTTTGTAATCCATCTGAAATGAGTGACAACACATATAGACACTGAGGTTGGAGAAAAAAAGAAATTTTGTGGTGCTTTCTTAGCCCAGAAAATAAATTTTCAGGGAAAACTTCCAGTCTTTTTTTAATTCATATTTTGCTTTTGCTGTCCTTTTTTTTTGAATTGCTGTCCTTTTTAAAAAAAATACTTTGTCATTTGCTCTCCTTTCCCTTCATCTCAATTTTTTCTGCTTTTGTAACATCATTATTATCAGTTCTTGAATAGAGATATTTCTTGGTAAACAATTATTTCTTATTTTCTGACTTTTAAATTTGGTCTTGTATTCTCAAAGATTTACTGAAAATATAATACTAATATAACTTTAACAACTATAGATACCGAGAGGCGATTCAGAAGTGGGATGAAGCACTACAGTTAACCCCAAATGATGCTACCCTGTATGAGATGAAATCACAGGTAATGGTTATGAAGAATTTCCCTTTCATTGTGAAATTGCACTGTTTGTGATGTGAGGAGTGATGAACCAAAAGAATATTTCCTCCCATTTTCTTTTGTTAAATACAATTTGTTTATTTGGGAAAAACATATGTCACCTTATTATTTATGGCTCTTTCTCATGCATCAAATTAGAAATTTGTTTACCTTAATATTGAAGCTAATTTTTATTTCAGCCTAACTATGCTTAAGATATGAGTGATGGGTATCTTTTAAAAAATTACTGGTGATCTCTTAAATAGATGAAATGTGTTAGCTTTCCTTGGAAATTAATTATAGTGGACTTAACAGTAACTCAGTCTCTTCAGAATAAGGATGAATTAGATTCTGGATGAGGTTGTTTCTCTTAGAATGGCTTGGTCCATAGCAAAAGGTCAGAATAGACTCAGTTTATTAATAGTGTAAAAATAACATTTGTACTTACAAATACATTTTTAATGTTTTGTGGGAAAGTTCATAAAGAAAACCTCTGAGTATTTCTATTAGATTATTAAGAGACTTTTAAAATCTCAGACAGAGCACTAACATACTTCTAGCATGGAATAGTTGTAATGCAGCCTGATCCGCCCACCTAGCATATCTTTCAGATAATGATCCAAAACATAGGGCACATCCTTTTTCAGATCTGATTTTAATTTTTCCAGGAAAAACCCAAATAAATTATTTTCCACTGAATGAAATGCTATGAGGACCTTCATTTGGATAAGCCTTTAATTTTTAATCTTAAATATGTATATATTAAAGGTAAGATTTGCGGCATGCTGTATGAAATGAGTCGTTTTATTTGGAACCTGATAATGGTAGTGTCGTAAATCTTGTGAAATGCAAATGGTCAAAATTTTATAGATAAAAGCCAGCGCTTTCCCATAAATTGAAGTAGAGGGTTCTGGAACGCCTTGATTTTTCTGGTGTGTATGATTTGGAGAACCTAATTGTGGGCAGGCTGATGGCATGTCTAAATTATTTTTATAGCAGGAAGATGTTCATATGGGACAAGATGGGTGGTTGAACGAAAATTTAAATTTACCTAGTTTGACAGAAGGACCTGGGGTTCCCTAAAAAACACATTGTAAGTTGAGTAAAGAGAAGGGGAGTTGGGGTTCAAATAGCTGTGAGCCATCATGGCCAGAATATGACTGTCTGGTTTAGATGGGGATTTCCAGGTGGCGCTATTGTTAAAGAACATGCCTGCCAATGCAGGAGACATAAGAGACATGGGTTTGATCCCTGGGTAGGAAAGAACCCCTGGAGAAGGAAGTGGCAACCCTCTCCAGTATTCTTGCCTGGAGAATTTCAAGGACAGAGAAGCCTGGTGGGCTATAGTCCATAGGGTTGCAAAGAGTTGGACACAACTGAAGCAGCTTAGCATGTGTGCATGCAGTAGGGTTCAGTAGTTGCAAAGAGAATATATTTTTCATAATTATTTCAGGAATAGGAAGAATATAACTCTTAAACTTACGTAGCAAAGGAGGGGGTTAAAACCACTAAAATGTTATATTTTCCAGACTAAAAATATATTTTTAAAAATGAAGAGTTGTTTATATATGATTGTCCATTTTTTTTTTTTTTTTTGGCTAGTTTTTAGTTTGCTAATTTATGAATGTTACTGATGGGTTTCTTCTTTTTTGGCCATAGGTCCTAATGTCTCTTCATGAAATGTTCCCAGCAGTTCATGCTGCAGAAATGGCTGTCCAGAGAAATCCACATTCATGGGAATCTTGGCAGACTTTGGGGCGTGCTCAACTTGGATTAGGAGAGATAGTCTTGGTAAGGAAGTCAGATTATTACAGTGATGACATTTTATTTTGACATGTTTTTGATCAGTTGAATCAAAAAGTAAACAGTCATTTATCAAATCTACACAAAAGGTAAATAGCAAATAACCTTTTAAAGGTATTAACCCATAAACACTGCTCACTTATTACTGAACATCTTTTTTCCATTACAAATGTCAGTTACAATATATCAGGATCAGAATATTTTTCAGGTATTTGGCATTATGGGAATTAAAAAAAATTAACAATAAATGTTGGCATTTGGTAAAACTTATTTAAATATAAAATAACTTTTAGATTAGTTCATTGCATCACTCAGTTTACCCCCATTATAAAGTGATATCAGTAGCACTATGGAGACAAAACCACTAAGCCATTATGTTGAAGGAAGAAAGTAGAATACAGAAGAATAATGGTGATAAATACTTAGACTAAAAAGTTGCTAAGTTTGGTGAGCAGAGAAATGGAAAGGGTAGAAGCTGATGAAATTGAAGTATTCATTGTGTAAAGTTTACTATAAACTGGTACCTAATGAATTTCTCACCTTATTTGGACTATAGCTTGTATGTAGTAAAGGCTCAATAGGTCAGAGTTGGCTGTAAGTATTGTCTTCTTTTCTTTTTTGTTTTGACTGAACTATATATACCTAACAGCTAATTTCCTAAAAGGTGTTTGCAAATCTAATATAGTGGTGCCAGATTTCCTCTGTGTCATCAAGCAAATTGAAATTTTTCATACTTTTATTACCGTTTTATAGTTGAAAACAAAACAAGCAAAAAAATTCCAAAGAAGTTACTTCTAAAATTCTTGGTAAATCTTGAGTTTAACATTACTAGTAATGGTTTTAGTAAGTTGTGAATAACTTAGATTTTTCTGGTACTCTTGTAAATATATGATTATTTCTAATTACCAACTATGGTATTTATCAAATTCTCAAAAATCATATAGAATTTTGATGAGAAAAGAATTGATTGAAATAATTTCAAAATGATAGTCTGAAGGAAGATTCATAGCAATGGAAACAAGTTTAACCAGAGATTGTTTTATTTCCTTGCCATTTGACATAGTCATTTTTTCTCTCTTTTGTCTGAAGACTTAAATCATATCACAGTTGGAAAAAGAAATTCAAGGAGTTTAGTTTTCTAACAGGTTAATAGCAAAACAAACAAAAGTCTAGCTTATAATACTTTTTACTCATTTCTCTTCTATTAAAATCTTACAAATCATTATCTATTTTACTCATAAGTGTTTATGGTAATGGAGAAAATCTCTAGGACGTATAGCAGAGATTGTCCTATAAACAAAGAAAATAAAGTACAGATGAAACAACAGAGCTATTTTGAATCAGTGAATGAAAGTAAAATTATTCAGTGTTTTAAGTTTTCAAAATAAGAATACCAGTGGTTCAACTGTTACTTTTTCCCCTTTGATAAATTTCTTTCTATTTATATTGTGAAATTATTGGAGGAATCAAAAGTGGTTTTTTTCCCTCCCATTTACTATGATTTTAGGACTCTATTTGGAAAAAATATAAATTTTTGATTTTTAGGTAAACTTAAGCTGTTATTTTGAAACACTGGAATAGAAAAAACAAATTTATTCATTGTCATAATGAAGGGAATACTGTAAAAAATATATTGAAAACAAGCTAAAATTTTTAACATCTAACAGGTCTTAATACATCCATATGGACAAAAACATAAGAAAATACATAGGTAAATTAAACAGGCAGTAAGTTAAAAGTCAATAGTTGGATATATATCTATGAGTAATATTTAGATTTTTATATGAAGCTGAGTGTGTATGTTAGAAAATGGTCACAGGCTTACTTTGTTTTTCATTTTCTGATTCTTTGAGCTGTAAAGTTAGGTTTTTGCTTGAGATCTTTTCTGTTTTAAACATAACATTTATCACTATAAACTTATACTTAGTTTTGCTTTTGCAAATATACCATCCTATATTGTCAGGATATTATAGTTTCATTTTCTGATTTCAAGATACATTTTAATTTCTCTTTTGAGTTCTTCTTTGACTCACTGGTTGTTCAAGAGTGTGCTGCTTAATTTCCATGTATTTATGAGTTTTTCCAGTTCTATTGATTTCTAGTTTTATTCTGTTGTAGTTCAGAAAAGATACTTGGTATGTCTTCTTAAATTTAAGACTTGTTTTGTGACCTGAGATGTGATCTGTCCTGGAAAACATTCTGTGTGTTCTTGAGAATAATGTGTATTCTGCTCCTGTTGGATGAATCTTTCTATATTTGTCTGGTAGGTCCCTTTGGTCTGTAGTGTTGCTCAGGTCTTCTGTTTCCTTACTGATCTTATGTTGGAATGTTCTGTCCATTATTGAAAGTAGGACATTGAAGTCTCCTGCTAATACTTTATTGCTATATGTTTCTCCCTTCAGTTCTGTCAGTGTTTACCTTATATACTTATGTTCTGATGTTGGGTACATATATAGTTATAATTATTATATTTTTCTGGTGAATTGATTCTTTTATCATTATATATAATGTTCTTCTTTGCTCTCTTGTGACACTTAAGACATGTTATCATTATTATGATCTAAACTTTTGGCTTCAAAGACATGCATTCCTGATGCCTTTCTGATCATGAGCTAGTCCAAGAAATCCCCAGATTTACATGTTTGCTGATCTTCAGAAGCTGAGCAATGTATTTGGCTTGTTCTGAGCCATAATATCAATACCTCTATTTTAATGGACTTTTTGGTCCTGATTTTGTCAGCTACTTTCTTTTATGCTTTTTGACTCTTTTTTTTTTTTAACCATAACCATCATTCTAGTACATTTACCATTTTTTTAAACCATAACCATCATATCCAGCACAGCTCTAACTTCCATCTTTACATTGTAATACAGTGAGAAAAAGAGAGAGACATATTGTGGATTATATTAAATACATTCCTTATTAAAACTAAGCAAAGAAGTCTGACCTTTTCTCCCCTGTAGGCAATTCGAAGTTTTCAAGTAGCCCTTCACATCTATCCAATGAACCCTGAGATATGGAAAGAAGACCTTTCTTGGGCAAGAACACTCCAGGAGCAGCAGAAAGTAGCAGAGAGGATTAAAAAGAGTGAAGTGCCAGCAGAAGTAACACACTTCTCACCCAAGTCAATTCCTGACTATGACTTTGAAAGTGATGAGGTTGTTGCTGTTTGTGCAGCTATTGCTGAAAAACAGAAGACAGTTGCAGCAAATAAAACAATGGTTATCGTGTCAGCTTCTGGGACTGTAGAGACTGTGACCGAGAAGGAAGATGGTGCTGCACCCCCAGATGGCTCTGTTTTTATCAAAGCCCGATGAAGCTTAGCAAGAGTTGTTTGAATCCGTCTTTGATTACCACTTAAATTTTAGGTGTGGGGGAATTTAGTCTGGAGAAACAGGGTAAAACTCCTGCTTGTTAAATAAGTTTTTCAGATGAGACATATAAAACTAAGTGAAAGAATTATTGTATAGTTTTTAGACTGTACTTTGATGAGGCGTGATTTCAGTTCAAGATTAAAATTCTGAGTACATGGTTTTTTGATTAAGAAGCTTAATTTAATCCAAATATATAAGTGAATGCATTTTCAAGATACAACTTGAAAAGTAAGTTCTCAAATAGTGAATAACTTGATGGCCAGTGTTATTAAAATATTGACTTGTTGGTTTTTGTTTTATAATAAAGGAAGTAGGCTTCTTTCCCTGCTAGAAATATACTGCTGTTCCTATTCACTCTTCTTTTTCTCTTGTCTCATTAGAGTAATTCCGTCACGAAGCTTGAATCTTTTTGATACTCATTTTGATTCAGAGTTGTCATTTGGGCCTATGTAGGATCTTGAAAGTTTGAAAATGCATGCAAATGTGTACGCTGAACATTTTCTGAAGTTTCTCTTAATTTTGATTTGTGCTTTTAACTTTATTATAACAATGATAGTTGCCACTTTCAGTATTTGTTAGATGTGTGAGATACTGACAAATGTCAGAATCATGGTTTATTTTTTAAATTATTAAGGTAGATAGAGTAGTCCTTAGCCCTGAGTCATTTTATAGATGTACATTTAAAAAAAAAAATCAGTGGCTCTTATAGATACATCATAACAAATTGCACTACTGTTTTCCCAGTTAAAAGCAGTATTTTCTTTTCCTTATTTTTAAAAGATTAAAAACAACTTATTTCTTGCTGTAATTTCCTAGCTGATGGTTTAGAATTCCTTTTCTAGTTAACTTTTATGGAACTGCTCAGTGAAATGAGAAACAATCACAATTTTAAATGGCTCAATTATACTTTTCTAAAAATTGAGGGGGAAAAGTAGATATGTTATTGAAATAAAGGAGTGAATAACATTAGGTGCAACATAAACAGAAACTGAAGTGTGATTTACGGTTTAATCCCATGAGTAGAAAGGATATATTGAAGGATATATTTCATTGAAAGGTCACCATCACATCCACAAATCAATACTGTCATTGCTAATGTTAATTATTATTTTAGTACAGTTATATAGAACTGCTGGGTACTGTTACTTCTGAAACTCAGGAAGCTAGTATTGGTATTTTATCCTTGTTAGAGAGGAAGTAAGTTACTTTTTATTTTAAGGAATTTTATCTTGCCAACTGGGAGCATGGACATATAACGGTCTGAGATGACTGAAAAACATTGTTTTTAGTGGAATGCTTACTTCTTTTTTTCAGAGTTGGAGAAGCCAGCATTTGCCTTGAAAAGTACTATTTTTTATCCCCAAAGTTATATCAGATAGTTAGCTCTGGTTAGAGAAGTTTGTTTTAGGAAGATAAAAAAAATGAATTATATTTTATTTTGTTTAATAATGCATATTCTTCGAGGGCAGGTAGATGCATATGTAGAGAAATGTGCACTTACTGTTTCATATGTTGTTTTGAGTAATGGATGTTGATTGTATAGTTTGTAAATAAATAGGTTTTTTTGCTTTTAAAGGTTTCTCTATTACTTTTTGTTGTTAGCTTTTGAAAAAATTAGATTGATTAATTTATTTCTGACATGAAAATAAAATATATAAGGCACCTTGTATGGTGTCTTGTGTATGAAGTACTCAGTAAATGCTAGCTGTTTCTATGAAGCCCGTGAATTGGTTTTATTTAACCTCACTTTCTTCTGATTTTAAGAAAGGAGGAAAACTTCTTTGTAATTTTTTGCATACTTGGAAGTGAGAAGTCACTACTTCTGATACTACAGGACAGATGGCTTTCAGTTGGGAACTATTCTTGGTATAAGGTTTATCCCTCAACCCAAAAGAAACAAGATCCAGGATGGGAGTGCATGTAGCTACTAGATTCTATTTATCAACCTACTGTTGCCTCTGTACTGACATCAGCAGGCCAGGTTAGTCTCTTTCTTACACAGAGATAAGACATGAGATGGTTTAGATGCAAGATGGAGGAGAGAACGAAATAGTGAATTATGGAGGAGAAAGGGATCTCATGCCCCCAAACATTCTTAGTTAGTACTCTTTTGTGTATGAAGGGAAAAATGCATACATTAATTTATAAGGATGTGAATACTGATAGGTCTTTACTAAGCTTGGTAACTGTAATGGCAAATTCTTTCAATTTGAGGGAAATAATTGATGTTCATGATAATGATATAATTAAAGATATTTAATATACTTTCTGAAACAACACTAATCACTAATACTATATTGAACATAATTTGTAGTATTCTTATCTGAAAATGTGTGTGGCATAGATACTCATTAGTCAGAATACTATATAATCCAGACCATGTCTGATAATTTGAGAATCATTATTCTCTAGACAACAGGTTCTTAGATTATAAAGTATTTATCTTAAATGTGCTAATAAATACTACATAAACACATGCAAGGTTTAGACCACCAAACCTGGATCTATTTTATTTTTTTGTAATTCTTTTTTCAAAAAAAAATTTTTTTTTTTACATTTTTTAAATTGGATATTGTGGTGGTTTCTGCCATACATCAGCATGAATCAGCCACAGATATATATGTTTCCTCTCTCTTGAGCCAAGATCTACTTTAATTGGAACCTATGTGCAGGGTTTTATGGTACACTTTAGTATGAAATTAGCTTTTAAATTGATGTTAATATGCCAAAACTATAAAGAAGAGTTTAAATTTATAAAGCTTTGGTTCAGAAAGCTAGTGTTGTCATGATTATAACTGACCAGTATAGCCTTTTCAGTTTGAAAATTGTGCTTTGTGTAATGACGTCAAAAGCTCATTTCCCTGCCTTTCTCAGCAGCAGGAAATTGTTAATAATTTCTTTAATTTCAGACTTCATGAGTCAGAAGCCTTTTAAAATTGATTTGGACTTTGATTTCATGACATACATGTATCTAAATGAGTTGTACATTGACACAAGAACCATAGTTCTATAATTATCTTCAAATCAATAGGTATATTAAATGTGTCTTTCCTTAGAGATTATTATGAAACTGATGTTGTGTTTTGTAATTGATGACATTTTAGGACTGAGAAAATAATGTTTTTTTTTTTTAAGCCAATAATAAAAATACACAAGTTTGTAAGTGATTCACTCATTACTAAAGTAAAATGAAATATGTCACTTTACCTGTGTGCAATTAAATACCCCTATGAGTGGAAGAGGGGATGGCCTTCTAGCCAGTATACCTTGAACTGTGCCTTAATGTGTGTTAGGTGTGAACCTCACTTGCTGTGTATGCCAGAGTGGAAGAAAGGGTGAGAAATGGTGGTCTGTACTTGGTCGAGAAGGCAGAAGGATGGGGAAGGGGATGGCTTTTTTCCCTCTTTACTTTGGACATCCATTAGCCAAGGAATTCTGGTCTCTCCTTTGTTCCTCCCCGCCGTCTCCCCAGTAGAGGGAGTTTAAGATAGAGACGTGGACAGGCCAGCCTCTTTCTGCCTTTGTTTTTGGAATGTGTCATGTCTGCAGACAGCCTTTGTTGAGGTCTCTTGCTAGAAATGTGTGTTTTGCAGCGAAGACTGTCTGTCCCTGTGAGAGGAGACCTGTAGTTGTTCAGGACTGCCCATGCCTTGGTGAGCAGGTCTGTCTAATTCTGGGTTTGATACTAGGTGGCTGTTGTTGGCACAAACCTAAATCATATCCTTTCACCTGGACTTTTTCAGCAATAAATCTGACTTTTAAATCTCTGCATGACATTGTCTATCAAGTGGTTCAGAAGTCAGAAAGGGAAAATGGGTGTTACTTTATGAGTCCCTCATAACAAAGATTAGTGTAGATTATTTCAACGTAAGCATGAGACAAAAACCAAATTTCTTTATAATTTTAGATTTTTTTTAAAATCATGGAAATTCTATTAAAAATGGGCAATGTTTAATTACAAGGCAATATGCAAACATTTGTTTAGCATATTTAAAAGCTCTACTGACTTAGCATTGTGCTAGACCACAATATTGATTCTAGATTTAATTTGAAGGAGAGGATATGAAACAGTATCTCTGCCCATCCTGTAACTTTCTTGAGTGTAATTTTGCATATAATAAAATGCACTTATGGTAAGTTTAAGTTTGAAGAGTTTTGACACTACCATCAAGATGGAGAGTATTTCTATCACCCAGAAAGTTCTCTAAAGTTTATTTATAGTCAGTTCCCTTCCACCCCACAAACACTGTTCAACTACTGACTTGCTTTCTGTGACTACACACTGATTTGACTTTTCTAGAATTTCAAATAAATAGATCATACAATATATGCTTTTTCTGATCTTCACTTAGCATAATACTTTTGAAATCCATCCATGTTGAGATTCACCCATGCTGTTGTGTAATTTATTCTGTTTTGTTGCTGAGCACTACTCTGTTATATGGATATATCACAATTTGCTCATCATATCTGTTGACAGACATCTAGGTTGTAGATGAACATCTAAGTTTTCATCTGCTGTGAATAAAGTTGCTATATGCATATGTCACAAGTCTGTGTATGAATATATGTTTACCTGGGGATTGAATTGCTGAGTTTTATGGTAAGTATATGTGTAGCTTTAGAGGAAACTGATTCTTCTTAAGTATTTGTACTGTTTTGCACTCTCACCAGCAATGTATTAATTTTCTGTTGTGCCATATCCTTGTCAATGCTTGGTATTGCTGTTGGTTTTCATTTTAGTGACTTTAGGGCTTCTCTGGTAGCTCAGCTGGTAAAGATTCCACCTGCAATACAGGAGACTCCATTTGATTCCTGGGTCAGCCAGATCTGCTGGAGAAGGGATCCGCTGGCTGCTGCTGCTGCTAAGTTACTTCAGTCGTGTCCGACTGTGTGATCCCATAGACGGCAGCCCACCAGGCTCCCCCGTCCCTGGGATTCTCCAGGCAAGAACACTGGAGTGGGTTGCCATTTCCTTCTCTGCTACCCACTCCAGTTTCCTGGCCTGAAGAATTCCATGGACTATATAGTCCATGGAGTCACGAAGAGTCGGACACCACTGACCAACTTTCACTTTAGTGACTTTAGTGGATGTGTAATGGTATCTCATTGTGGTTTTAATATATAGTTTCCTGATAATGTTGAGCATCTTTTATATGCTTATTTGATGTTTGTATATCTTTTGGGAAATACCTTTTAAAATATTTTGTCCATTTTTTATTTGGGTTATCTTATTTTTGAGTTATAAAAGTTTTTATATATTCTGGATAAAAATCTTGAGATATATGTATTGTGAATACTTGGTCCCCATGGTGTGGCTTGCTTTTTTGTTTTTCATTTAAAAAAAAATTATCTATTTATTTATAACTGCATTGAGTTTTAGTTGCAGCATGCAGGCTCTTTGTTGCAGTGCTAGGGCTTTTCTCTAGTTGTGGTGTGTGGTCTGCAGAGAGCATGTGCGTGGTAGCTGTGGTGCATAGGCTTAGTTCCCTGAACAGGGATCGAACCTGTGTGTCCTACATTGGAAGGTGGATTCTTAACCACTGGACCACCAAGGAAATCTCTGCTTTTTTGTTTTCTCAGTGATAGCTTATGAAGAATGGAAGTTTCTGATTTTGATGAAGTCCATTATATTTCCCTTACGGTTTTATTTTTTGTGTGCTTACAAGATCAGAAAGAATTTCTCTTTTCTCGTAGAAGTTTTACAGTTTTAGCTTTTATACTAAGGTCTGATTCAAGTTAATTTTTATATAAGGTATGAGGTAAAGGGCTAGGTTCCTTTTTTGGTTTTCAGTTATTCAGGTACTATTCATTAAAAAAAGACAACTACCCTTTCCAATTGAAATACCTTCAGCATGTATTTTGAGGGTCTGAGTTCTGTATTCTGTTACACTGATCTATATGTCTATTACTTTTTTTTTTTTTTTGGCTGTGTCTTGTAGCTTATGTTATCTTGTGCTGTTCTTCATATACTATCAGGTTGTGAATGAAGACAGTTTTCCTTCTTTTCAAACTGAATGCTTTTTATTTCCATTTCTCACCTTATTACACTGGCTAGAACCTCTAGTACAAAAGTTCCCCAATCAAGGATTGATCCTGGGCCCTCAGTAGTGAAAAAGTATCAAGTCCTAATCACTGGACTGCCAGGAAATTTCCCTGTTCTTAAAAATCAACATGGTTTTTTCAACTTTGTTCTTTATTTCCCAAAGAATTCTTGAGCTGTTCTGATTTCTTCCATATACATTTTAGAATTATTTGTCTTCATCTACATGTAAGTCTGCTGGAATTTTGATTGGAATTGTATTGAGTCTGTAAATCAGTTTGGGAAGAACTGCCATCTTAAGCATGTCACATCTTTGAATCCATGGTCATGGCATAATTGTCATTGTTTTAGATGTTTTAATTTCTTCGTAGTGTTTTTTAGTTTTCTGTGATTGAGTCTTGCCTGTATTTTTGTTGTTTATCCCTAGATATTTCATATTTTTCTAATGCTGTAAGAAGTATGTTTAAAATTTCATTTTCCAGTTTGATACTATTACATAGAAATATCTATTTTTATATACTGACCTCGTAGCCTACAACCTTGATAACTCATTTATTAGTTGCATTAGCTTTTTTATAGATTCTTTAGGCTGTTCATATATATTACCAAGTTGTGAATGAAGACAATTTTCCTTCTTTTCAAACTGAATGCTTTTTATTTCCACTTTTCACCTTAGGTATTGGCTAGAACCTCTAATACAGTGTTAAATAGAAGCTGTGAGAATGGACATTTTTGCCTTATTTATAATTTTTTGGTCTTTCACTGTTAAGCATGGTGATATCTGTAGTTTTTATATACATCCTTTGTTAAATTGAGGAAGTTCTTTCCCTAGTCTGCTATTTGATAAATGTATTTCCCGCATCCATCTGAAGATCATATGATTTTTATTTTTTATTCTGTTAGTATGATGAATTCCATATATTTTTCAAATGTCAAAATCAATTGCATTTTGGGGATAAACCCTATTTAGTTGTGGTGGACTGTCCTTTTTAGATCATTTTTTATTCAGTTTGGAATAAGAATTTTTATGACTGTGTTCATGAAAAATACTGGTCTGTAGTTTTCTTTTTGTTGTTGTTTTTTTGGTTTGTAGTTTTCTTGTAATATATATATTTTTAGTTCTTGAGTCAGAGAATTGCTGACCTCTTTAAAAATAAAGGTTGAAAAGTGTTTCCATCTATTCTTTTCTCAAAGAATTCCTATAGATTTGGTATCTTGTTCAATAATGTTTATTAGAAAATTAACAAATGTTGTCACTTAGACCTAACAGTATCCTTTTTGGGAAGGTTTAAAATGACAAGTTTCAAAAGTAGTTACAACATAGACTTTTGTCAGTTGTGTCACATTGAATGATAGTATGGTTTGATTAAATTAGAAATCAAAAAGAAGTCTGTTTATTGCATTGTTGATATGTCTTAGTCTTTTATAATCTATAGGTTCCCTTTCATTTTTTTCTTTGCAGTTTACTTATTTCTTTTTTAACTGAGTTGCCTGTCCTTTAGAATTTTCTACTTTTTGTGTTTTGTCTCTTGCATCCCACCTAATGTCATTAATGTTCCTCTTGACCTACATTTCTTATAAAATGATTTGTTGTTGTTGTTCATGTCCAACAACCCTATGGACTGCAGCACACCAGGCTTCCCTGTCCTTCACCATCTCCCCCAGAGCTTGTTCCAACTCGTGTCCATTGAGTCAGTGATGCCATCCAACCATCTCGTCCACTGTAGTCCCCTTCTCCTCCTGCCTTCAATCTTTCCCAGCATTAGGGTCTTTTCCAATGAGTCAGCTCTTTGCATCAGGTGGCCAAGCTATTAGAGCTTCAGCTTTAACATCAGTTTTCTGGTAAGAATATATTACGGTTGGTTTTGGATACTTAGACCAGAAGTTAAATATTTCTGGCTCTTTGTAATGTGAGCAGACATTGATTATCATTGCCTAGATTTATTGTTTCATTAAAGGCCACAATATGGTGATAATTATTAGAATTTTGGTGCTAGAAAACATCTTTAAAGAAAAACTTCTCATCAACTATTTTATACCATAGAAATGATTTATGTAGTACAGGCAGTTTATGTATTGGAGGCTTTGTTCTCCCCCTTTATTTAGCACTTTTCAAAATAATAGGTTGGTTGTCCAGTATTCTCCAAAGGTGACTAGTAAGTGTTCTGTTTTATGTTTGTGTCATTATGAAGTCATGCATTGAGATATATATGTGCTGTGTTTCAATCCTTGCAGTTATTGTTCATATTGATGAATATAATCCTGAACTTCAGTAGTTCGTACCAAGTTCATTTTTTTCAATGGTTCTAATTTTGTATCTGAGTTTCTAAAGCATACTTGGTATTTTCAGGCTGTAAAATTTTTATGAATATGATTGGTATATAAGGATATATATACACACATATATATGCAGTGAAATTACAATAATTGTGATTTCATTGCTTAATTCATTTTTAAAAATTTGTGACATTAAGTATTGATTTTTTATTATAGAGAAATATGATTTGGCTCTCTTTCATTTCCTCAATATATTTACTTACTACTCCTGCATCCATTTTTCAATACAGTTGATTGTAATTTTGGCCTCAATCTATATTCATTGTTAATATGACTATGTAATTATTACACATAGTGAATCTGACCGGGTTTTCGTTGTACTTTTCGAGTATGTCTCTTTGTCTTTCATGGAGTCAATAATTGCCTTGTTTTTTCGTTTCTTAGTTTCCTATGTAGTGTATATTACAAATATCCCCTCTGACTAATAGAATACTTCCCTCAATATTCCATATATAAAACAA